CCGAGAAGTGCTTCCCTTCCCACCACACTGTGCTGCCCTCAAGGATGGAGGATGAAGGGGCCCATCAGACCCAGCTTGAGGGCCCACACAATCCCTGCCCACAGGTTGCTTACTTGAGCAGAGATGAGTCCCTCAGCAAGAAATTCCACACTGGGATCATCGGGCAGGCACTGAGCGGGTGTTGTGTCAGTGTCTGCGATGCCCTCAGTCCCTCGGGGGTCAGCCTTGGCCTTGAGCACAGTTGGGTCAGGGTCAGGCTGTGCCATGGCCTTGGTTGGTGAGGTCCTGGCCTTTCTACACCGAACAGGATTGGATTTCTGCACCCTCTGCAGGACAACCAAGGGCAGGGAAGAGAGGGATGTGTCATGGAGAGCTCCAACTGCGGTGCCAGCCTGAGCAGTGGCAGCAGGCCCAGCCCAGGAGGCCGTGGCTGCAGGTACCTGTGCTGCCCTGCGGAAGCGGCCACGGGCACGGTCCTGCTCTGGGGTCTGGTCCCGTCCAGGATCTGGCAAAGAGCGAGCGCAGTCAGAGCTGAGGGGCTGCGGGACAGGCCGGAGAACACGGCCCAGCCCTGCATCCACAGGCAGGGCCAGCCCCGGGATGGCCAGTGCATGGATCAGCCCTGGGCCCTCTTCCCCCCTCCCTTTCCCTGGGCATGTCCACAGGAGATGGGATGGGATGGGATGGGAAGAGGCCCATCTGGCTGCAGCCACCAGCCCTGTGGCCCAGCTCTGCCACTCACCCTCCTGAAGGGGCTGTGACTGCTCCACCTCTTCAGGTTGCTCTGCTGGTGTAGCCACAGGGCGTTCCTCTTCCTCCTCCTCCTTCACCAAGGTCAGCTTGGGCATGCTGGGGGGTCTCTGCTCCATGCCTCTGTTGGGCTTCAAGGCTACCTGCAGGAGACATGGCATGGAAAACTCTGGGTCACCATGTCCTGCGGAAGTGCCTTGAAGGCTCTTGCAACAGTGGAGCCTTGGGAATGCTCTGGGTCATCAAGTCCCATAGTGTGGCCTGCAGGGGACGTGGCGCAGTTGGAGAGTTGCCAGAAGGAGTAACCTGCCCACTTTCCCCAGGAAGTGCTTCCCTTCCCACCACACTGTGCCAGCCTCAAAGGCTGAGGGGGCCCAGCAGACAGAGCTTGAGGGCCCACACAGTCCCTGCCCACAGGCTGCTTACTTGAGTAAAGACAACTCCCTCCTCGGGAACATCCACACCGGGAGCACCAGGCAGGCACTGAGCGGCTGTCCTGTCAGTGTCTGCGATGCCCTCAGTCTGTGGGGTGTCAGCCTTGGCCTTGAGCTTGGTCAGGTTGGGCTCAGGCTGTACAATGACCTTGGTTGGTGAGGTTCTGGCCTTTCTACGCCGAACAGGCTTGGATTTCCGCACCCTCTGCAGGACAACAAAGGGCAGGGAAGAGAGGGATGTGTCATGGAGAGCTCTGACAGCGGTGCCAGGCTGAGTAGGGACAGCAGGCCCAGCCCAGGAGGCTGTGGTTGCAGGTACCTGATCAGCTCTGCAGAAGCGGCCACGGGCATGGTCCTGCTCCTGTGTCCAGTCTCGTCCTGGATCTGGCAAAGAGTGAGAGCGGTCTGAGCTGAGGGGCTGCGGGACAGGCCGGAGAACACGGCCCAGCCCTGCGCTCCACAGGCAGGGCCAGCCCCAGCATGCCCAGTGCATGGAGCTGCCAGGGGATCAGCCTTGGCCACTCTTCCCCCCTCCCTTTCCCTGGGCATGTCAACAGGAGATGGGATGGGAAGAGACCCATCTGGCTGCAGCCACCAGCCCTGTGGCCCAGCTCTGCCACTCACCCTCCTGCAGGGGCTGGAACTGCTCCACCTCCTCAGGGTGCTGTGCCGGGGGTACTCCAGAGCTTTCCTCCTCCTTCTTCACCCACGCCAGCTTGGGCACCCTGGGGGGTCTCTGCTCCATGCCTCTGTCTGGCTCCATGGCTACCTGCAGGAGAGATGGCACAGAAGAGCTCTGGGTCACCTAAGAAATACCTTGAAGGCAGCTGCAACAAAGGAGTCTTCGGAATGCTCTGGGTCATCAAGTCCCACAGTCTGGCCTGGAGGGGACATGGGGCAGTTCAAGAGCTGCCAGAGGGAGCAACTTGCCCACTTTCCCCCGAGAAGTGCTTCCCTTCCCACCACATTGTGCTGCCCTCAAGGATGGAGGATGAAGGGGCCCATCAGACCCAGCTTGAGGGGCCACACAATCCCTGCCCACAGGCTGCTTACTTCCACAGAGATAACTCCTTCATCAAGAACTTCCACACTGAGAGCATCGGGCAGGCACTGAACGGGTGTGCTCTCAGTGTCTGCCATGCCCTCAGTCGTTGCACCGTCAGCCTCCGTGGTGAGCTCAGGCAGCGCCGTGTTGGATTTTGTCCTGTCATCGGTCACCGCGCTGTCACAGTTTGCTGTGCCGTCAGTCAACGCGGTGCCGACTTCAGGGTGTGCCTTGAGCTCACTCGGCGTGGGGTCAGGCTGTGCCATGACCTCGGCTGGTGTGATCCTGTACTGTCCACGCCGAACACCCACGAATTTCAGAAAGGCCTGCAGAAGAACGGAGAGCAGGGAAGAGAGGCATGTGCCCTGGTGAGCTCCAACAGCGGTGCCAGGTGGAGCAGGGACAGCAGGCCCAGCCCAGGAGGCCGTGGCTGCAGGTACCTGTGCTGCCCTGCGGAAGGGGCCATGAGCACGGTCCTGTTCTTGTGTCCGGTCCCATCCTGGATCTGGTAAAGAGCGAGCGAGGTCAGAGCTGAGGGGCTGCGGGACAGGCCAGAGAACACGGCCCAGCCCTGCGCTCCACAGACAGGGCCAGCCCTGGGATGCCCAGTGCATGGAGCTGCCAGGGATCAGCCCCGAGCCCTCTTCCCCCCTCCCTTTCCCTGGCCATGTCCACAGGAGATGGGATGGGATGGGATGAGGCCCATCTGGCTGCAGCCACCAGCCCTGTGGCCCAGCTCTGCCACTCACCCTCCGGCAGGGGCTGGAACTGCTCCACCTCCTCAGGCTGCTGTGTTGGGGCAGTCCCAGGGTCTTCCTTCTTTTTCTTCCTCCTCAGCAGCCTGGTCACACTGAAGCGTCTCTCCGCCATCCTACAGTCGGGCCTCAAGGGCACCTGCTGCAGGGATTGGAGACGCCAGGGAAAAGCTCCGGGGCACGAAGCCCCAGAGAATGGCCTCGAGGGCACCTGCCGCAGGGCCTGGAGACTCCTCGCCGAAGCTCCGGGTCACCAAGTCCTGCGGTCTGGGCTCAAGGACACCTGAAAGATGGAAAAGCCTACGAAACTCAAGTCCTGCAGTGCGGCCTCGAGGGCAGCTGCCACAGGGATTGGAGACACCTCGCAAAAGCTCCGTGTCACCAAGTCCCGCGGTCTGGCCTCGAGGACGCTCACAGCACAGAAAAGCCTCCAAAACGCTTCGGTCAGAGAGGAACGAGTTGGCTGCACGGGGTCTCCGCACAGCACCGCTCTGTCCCGTCCGTCCCGTCGCACGCTCCAAGGAGCACTGAGGCGTTGCCACCTCACCACCACTACTATGTCCTCACGTGTCACAAAGGGCCCTGTGACACCCTGCCCCGTGCCATCCCATCGTGTCACAAAGGGCCCTGTGACACACTGCCACGTGCCCTGGGGACTCCCCCAGCCCGGCCAACCTGCCCCAGGTGGGAAGGAATCCGTTCTCCAAAGTATCCAAGACAGCTGGACATGAACTTTAGGCACAGCTGAAAAACTAAGCAAACCCTCCCCTTCTGTGCCTGCCCACGGCAGCAGAAGGAGACCCCTCGGTTGCCGACGCAGCCGCAGCGGGAAGGACACGGGGCCTCCACACAAGCTGGCATGGGCTCCTTGGGAGAAGTCCTGGCTGGTGGCCCTCCCGAACACGGGGCTGTGACACACAGAAGGAACGTGGGGGCGAGGGCACCAATGCTGCTACCACCGCCCCCAGTCCTGGCAGGGCTGGTGCCCGTCTCCTGCCCCACACAGCTGTGTCCCCAGGCAACTTCTCTGCCAGAGGGCAGCCAAAGCCAACGGGCACTGATGTCTGTGCTCTTGCAGGGGGCTGTTGGGAGCGGCAGCTGGAGCAATTGGTGGCCACGCTCAGCAGCTGTCAGAAGGCAGAAGTTGTTGGTCCTTCCAGGAATGACTTTTCCATGGAAGTGATGACCTGCAGCACAGTAACATCTTAGCTGAAAAAGCACAGAAGAATCTGGCATTTAATAATCCTAAATTCAAGAAATCAGGAATGCACGTTACTTTTCATTGCTCTACACAAGTAGTTTAAAGCAAGTTGCAAACTTCCCAGGTTAATTGCCATGACCTGAGAACGTAATGTATTTGGAAGTTTGCTTCCCATTCCAAATCAGCAACTCTTTCGTCTTAACAGGGTCCACTGAGAGTGAATTGCAAAAAATAAACACTAAACAGAGAGAAAAAAAAAAAAAGAATTGGACACTGTTTGGTTTTCAAACACTTTTCTGTTAAGGGCTAATGATATAATAATTCTTTTAAGGTGTAAAAGATCTCAAGGAATGGAAGTTCACACAGTGTTGCAAAAGCAACCCAAGCAAATAAGGATATTTCAAAAAGCACCTATCTGTACCAGAGAGAGGATTAGTAAATGGCCAATAAAGTACAGCTCTCCCCTCTTCTGCCCTGCATGACAGCCAGCACCAGTAATAAAAATAGAAAAGTCATAGATATTCTTTCTGCCCTCCAACTTGCCCTCTTCCCCTCTTCACGGCCTCAGCTGCAGCCTTCTGGCAAGTCAAGCAAACAATTC